GGAGTCTGTCACGTTGAAATACGTTAAAGAGTAAATTAGAATTTATAACACAGCAGATAACAGTTTTCTAAGCCCCTGGTACCTTTTTATGTTACATTAACCTTTCATTATTACCCAGTCGGAAGAATTAAAGGGACTTACCCCCCGGCGAAGAGATGCAGCAGCGTGTCTCTCTGTGCCATCTTCTTTTTTTGTTGTTTTGTTTTCCTTTCTCAAATAGCCACCATATTCTTATTACAGTTTTCTTAGAAAGGCGTTAGTGTAAAAAAAAAATAAGGTGGTCAAAAGCGGTTTTACGGTCCCGGTGTGCTGCCGTGTTCGTGTGCCTCCGCGTGTGTACCGGCTCGTCGGGAGCTGTCAGCGCAGACGGGGCCGAGCAGAGTGACCTGAAGAGCGGCTCACATTTACGTCAGAGGGCCGGCCGGGGGTGTTGTCTGTGACGTGGGAGCATGTGCTCTCCACCTTGGTCCTTTGGCCTTTTTTAAACGTCGTTGCACAATTACTGGCAGCAACCGAGCAAAAAAAACAATAAAAAAAATAAAAACAATGCAACCCAACAGGAGATCAGCAGTGACCTTCACCAGTTCCTGTACACAATAAAACGGATCCTGTGCAGCATGTGCAGCATTAGCAGCTGTATTTATAACGAGGCATGTCGTCATGATGGGAGGCTGCATTCAGGGATGCCATCCGGATCAGATGAATGAAAAATGGCTAAATAGAGTACATTTATCTAACCTAATAGGGAAAAAATACCAATCAAAGCACTTCTAACAGAAGTGAGTCCACCTCTGTATAATATCACTTTGATCTCAAATGATTTTAATTTCTACCACCTCTCAACAATTGCTTTATGTCTGAGCTAAACAGTAGATATTTGCACAGAACTGTTTAAATTTACTCATGTACAAGCTTAGAAAGGTCATTTCACCTTTGTCTACAAACGAACAAGTGCAATATTACTTTGTACACTACATACTATGTGCAATACCTTCTCAGGGTTTTTTTTTTTTTTTAAATGTATGTAAGTGTTTTTCTATACAGTGTGTACTAGTTTTATTCTTCTAATGTATATTTGTGTTTTTTGTTTTCTGTTTTGTTCTTGTTTTTTTTATTGCTGCTGCTCTTACATTTATGGTTTACATTTTTTTCTCCTATATATAAAGCAGACAAAAAGAGTTCCAGTGTTCCTGCAATATATCAGTGCAAATTGCAATTAAACTCCATTGTATTGTATTGTATTGTATTGTATTGTATTGTATTGTATTGTATTGTATCGTATTCTATTGTATTCTATTCTATTCTAATAAAAAAATACAGATTCCACAGCAGGAACTTAATACAGCAAAAGTCTGTATCATTACAGAGATTTAGCTCTTTTATTTTTTTATTTACTGTAGTTTGAACAGTTTTTTTAAGTTAAACAGTAGATTATTTCACTTAACTGTTTAATTTTTTTTTAATTTAAAAAAAAAAATAAAAAATTCTGGTGTAGCAATTTCCCTGAGGTCTTGTACCGAAGGGATCAATAAAATTTTATTCTAATTCTAATTCTAAATTTACTGTAACTCATGTGCAATATTACTATGGTCATTTCACTTTTGTTTACAAAGTAATAAGTGCAATATTACTCTACATAATATGCACAATATCTTTTCTTTAAGGATGCAAGTGCTTTTTTTTAGAATGTGTGCTTATTTCATTCTTCTAATGTTTTTTTTTTATTGCTGCTGCTCCTCCTACTTTTATAGTTTCCTTTTTATCCCTGATATATAAAGCTGACTTGAGAAAAGGCAAAAATTCCAGTGTAGCTGTACTGTAATGTGTCAGTGCAAACTGTAATAAAACTCTGTTCTATTGTATTCTCATTAAAAAAAAAAAAAAATGTACAGGCTCCACAGCAGGAACTTAATGCAGCAAAAGTCTGTATCATTACAGAAATTCATCTCTTTTATTTATGTGTTTACTGTAGTTTGAACGGAGGATACCAAATTTCATGTCGTTCTTCAGAGTTTCTTTCCGCTGCTCTTTTTTGTTGTCGTCGTGTTGTTCTAACATTCTCTTAATATTCCTTCTATTAGCTTCAAGTCAGACAACATACTTGCTCGTGGCTTTCACTTTCTTTCTTTTCGTACTGCTCTGGTGTGATGTGATTTATAGCAGTGTACTCTGGATTGTCACTGTGCTGGAATATTCCTCTTCAGCTAACAATGGTAACAATTATACCAGTACCAACATGGCAGCCCTTATAAACAGCAAAGCCCTCAAGCTGTCAGGAGGGAACACTTTGTCCCTGTGTTTGTAGGTAGGAAAATACACACGTCTCAAGGGACTGCTGGAATATTCCTCTTCAGCCAAGCTTCTGCAGACTGGGAGTTATCTTGACAGCCAGTGTTTTGGTATATCTGCAAACATTCATGGCGCCATCTATAAATATCATCTCTCCAACACCTTTTTGCACTCATGTACCCCCATGTCATCATATCCCTCCTCTGTCAGGACTATGCTTTTACTGTGGTAGTCCTGGTCAGATTCAGGTCAAACATGCTTCACTTCATCTGAGGCCAACACATTTGTTTTTGTCCAATCCAACCAAAGAGAGAGCTCCTAATCAGTCATGTATTAATGCTTTATAACAAAGTTTAATCCAGCGGTTTAGTGCTGAAGAGCAAGCAAGTGTTTTGTTTTCTGGGTTTCCCTGTATACAGATTGATGCTATAAACTGGCCTAAGCTGTTACGAAACTCCACATTTCACTGATAACCCCAAGTCTGGAGCACTTGCCGATCTGTTTTTCAAAAGCAGATCGTAAAAGTAGCGTACAGTCCGTGGTGTCCTTTTCGGGGGAGGACCGCTGCAGTGCTGATTAGTGGTACCATGGCTTGTTCTGTACCTCCTGATTACTGCTGCAACAGTGCTTGTACTGATATTTAGTTGGTCACAGATCTTTTGGTGTAACGTTCCATCTTTGTGAAGTCACACAATCAGATTTTCAAATGCCTCTGAATATTATTTTCCATGTGGAGCCATGATGCAGACATGCAGATGCACACAGTCAGTAGGTCCCAAACTGAGAAAGTTCTGGAGTTCACATCTTATTTTATAATCATGTTTATGCACTTAGGCTGATTGTAAATCCCAGCTGTACTCAATTTTGTTTCAGTGAGCACAGGTTTTCTAACTCTTGTGTCGGTGATCATAGGTGTATTCACTTTTGTTGCATTGAGTTTTTAGTTTGGCGTCTCTGTTTTCAATGGAGTCTTTCGGGAGGAGTTGTTTTTCCTTGTTCCTAAGATGAATGACTCCTCTTCCTAGTATAAAGATAATGCAATCATTGGGCGGTGATGCAAATCATTTGACATTTGATTGATTTTGTATAGGGGTGAACTCCCTTCTGTTGTTTGCTCTTCTTTAATAAGAAACGCTGATAAGACTGTGACATTTGATATCATGATGAGACTCAACAAAAAGAAAAAAAAATGTGATTTTTGGCCTTTTCAGGTGAATCAATCAAAATCTGTTAGGAAAGGGTTAAAACTGCAAACTGCACTAACCTCCGATCGTCTTGTTTATGATGAAATTATGCTGCAGGGGCAATTGCATGACACTATTTCACACTTCAATCTATATTCTTATCTGAAAGCAGTTACGTAACATTTATTACCTCCATCTGCTGCAACAGCTTCCTCAGACCCTCCATCGAACTGTTTGTCTTCCTATAATTAGCCTGGATGTAGGGAGATTAGAAGTCTTTTTCAGCAGGAACATTGTATAAAAACAAACATCTTAATGCCATGTGAGGCCTTTGTGACTATTAACTGTGCCATTATTTACATGTAGTGTCACGGAATGAGCCACCCGCAAATGCACAGTATGCTATTAAACTTGGAATGCAACTCCTGCTGTCACCCTGAGGATATCCGAGCAAGAGAAAAACAGATTGCTCAATCACATCGATAGCACTTTGTTTTTCTGTAGGTCTATGCAATTATATTGTTGTCATTGTGCCAAAACAGCCTCTTAAAACCAGATGCACTCGTTTGGTTTTTTTCCATTTTTGCCGTCCTGTACAGACAGTCTGCATTATTATTAGTCTGCGTTATTGACATGATAACACTGAGCCTGGGCCTGTCTGTACTCACTGGTAAAGTTAGTTGCTTTTTTTTCTTTTTGCATTTGTCCTTTAATCAAGTGAGCAATCTTATGTAACAGAGTTTGGGTGTCTGGTTTCATCCTGGCAGCATGAATGATCTAATTTAAGCTTGTGCAAATGTGTCAACCTCTGACATGAGACACCATCACTGTACTTTAGTGGCCTGCCTCTTCATGCTTCTGATGTCCAACATTTCAGAGGCAGATTTAAATTCACTCGACGTCTGCAGGGTTTCTTGACGGATTTCTTCAGGACATGTCAGATGTTTGCTGCTCAATCAAAGAGACGTAGCTCCTCTGTAGATTGAGACATTTTTCAAAGCACAAACAAGAACCGAGTCCAAAATCCAAAAATAGAAGTAAAAATATGTGGAGCAGAACTTTAATAATATATAAAACTTTAATAGCTGGAACTGCAAAAAGCTGCTGAAACACTGATGTCACAATGAAATCAACCACAAGGGAATTGTTTTTTTTTACTTTGATGCTTGGAAGTGCAGCTGACTGGTTTTCATGGTTATGTAGACGTTGGAAATGCTGACATCAAGTGACCAAACAGGAAGCATGCAGCTGCAGGACTGGTGCCTGTCGAAAGGCACGATCATTATTTGTCTCATCATGTTATTTCTACTATTTATTTTTCATCATAATACTTCTGTTTTTGTACAGAGTTGCAGGTAGAATTAAGCTCCTTTCTGGGGTTTTTTTTTTGGGTGAACACAATACATGTGTTCCTGCTTGTGTGTAATCCTTTGTCTTATGTAAAAAAGCTGAACCGCTGCAAGGGATTAAAGTGTTTCTGTATCACTGAAACTGTCACAGTAGCTGGAGACTGATGCAACAGTACAAGTCAAATACCCCTGTCTCGGCGCTCATCCCACCCCCTCCCCGCCCCCGTAAAACAATACCGGTTTCCCTCAGTGCTTGACCCATTTACATTTCAACAGCTCAGAACTTGTTTGTCTGACCTTCAGTAGTGTTGAACTGCAAAACCCAAATCTTATTGTTAAAGAAGCGATATTCAAATGACACAGAAGAAAGAGAAATTTGTGACTTGAATGATCATTTCTTGTCTTGTAAATTGTATTGTACCTTTTCATATCCCTGCAAGTAAGACAATACTTGTTCTAACTATTATAAAAGCATTATTTTAGTCATCACCTGTTGTTTTTACAGCACACATGTTTAGTGTGACTCCCTACAATGCACAAGACCCAATAAACGATGTGAAATACCTCGGATGGATGCATAA